TCTGTAAGCCAGCTCAGACTTAAAGTTACTGGAACAAGTTTTCTGTCATTACCTTCTTGTGCATAAAATTAGACCAAAATTATCACATCCGGTTAGAGTTTAAAAGAATGACGATCATCTCAACAGTCCCAGATTCTTATACGTCGATACTTAATGTGAAAGAGTTTGTATTCTCACAGTCCAAATAAAATAGTGTTAAATCAATGTTCATTAATTATTCGATAACTACTCAAATTTGACATTTAATCCATTGTTTGTTTCCATTAATTGTTCTATTTGATACTTAATGTCGTTTGATAACTGTATTCCAGTTAAATCTAATTGTATTAAATTTTTATTTGTTTTTAATGCATTCAACAATAACAATACAATTGATTCATCTTCTATTTGACATGAATTTAATCCAAATTGTTTTAGTTTTGTTTGATTCATTTCAAATAATCGTGCAAATAACTTCATACAAGACGACGAGAAACAAAAATTCCTTAATATTAAACTTTTTAATCGATTATTTCGTTCTAATGATTGAACTATTATATGAGATGTTTGATTTACCAATGAATAGTTTGTGTTTGATGAAAATAAACTAAGTTCTTCTAGACGTTGATTAAATTCTAACGATTGAAAGAGATTTTGTAAATATTTATTCGGATCATTATCAATCATAAGTTCAAATTTAATGAGAGTCATATTTGTTTTCAATGTCTGAATAATTCGTTCCAATGTTTTAGTTGAAAGATGATTTTCTTGTAACGTTAAATATTTGATATGTTCGAAATTTTTTGTCATTATTTGTCCACCATCATCATTGATTACATTTTTTATTATTCTTATCTCAGTTAATCGACTATGAAATAGGTGTTTCAATTGTTCATTTAAACATTCTTTTGTTTTATTCACACCAAATAGACTAACAATGGATAATTCATTCAATTCTAGTGAACGAAGTGTCGATTGTTGACAAATTTTTGAAATTAATTTTTCGAAATCTTTCACACGAATTTTTATTTTTTTAAGTAATAATTCACATATACGATTGTTGTAACATAATAGATGACCTAAGGTTCGACTTTGATTCTTTGTTAATTCAATATTATTTAATATAATAAGTGAACGTTCCCGATCATATACACTGCCTATACTTTCAATTCCTTGACAAAATTCCTTACTAAATTCATGCACTTTCAAATAATGTTCCATGCACAACCATCGAATATGACCATCTGGTGTTATACTACGACACAAATTACCATAATTTTGTTCAGAAGAAGGTAAATAATAGACTAATTGACGTAACAGACTATCGATTGGTTCGACAGGATGATTAAGTTTAATATCATTTAATATTTGTTCATTTATTTCAGAAGTGACATTTATTGACGATAAACGAACTAAATCCATCATTGTTTGTAGATATGTTTTATAACATCTAAAGAATTGTTCAGACTGTCGAATAATATAACCATCGTGAAGAGCTAGGTGAAGATCTGTTCCATTCGTTGAACATTCACACATGAAATAAAGTCGAAACTGAGGTATTTTAGACTTGAAATCAGATT